AAAAAAACAGGGGAGGGCTTCCTCCTCCGTTATCACTTTGATTGAATAATTTCAATTTCTCCATCTAGATACACACAGATAAATAAATACAAGCTTCACACTTCATAGTAGGAAAAATTGAGAAATTACAAGGAAAAAAAAAAAAAAGCCCACAGAGCTTCAGGCTATTTAGGAGTGAGGTTATATCCCTAAATAAAATAGAAATATATAATGGATGAATGTCCTCCCCTCATGTTGCCACTTGCACTCAGGTGTAGTTCCACTTCTATATTACATATATCTATATATATTTGTTTTTCATTTTGTCTGTTCCCCCAGGAGAAGCCCCAAAGAGAAACAGAGATGGCCAAATTGACAGAGTCGATGAGTGAGTACAAATAGGAAGTTCAACCACTTTCTTTTTCCATCTGTCCCCCTCCCTCTCATAAAGCCACAAACCCAGAACGCAGTGCTTGCACCCAGGGACCTCATTCAGCCCTGTCTTCACTCCCAAATTCATCATAAATCATTCCGCTCCGAAAAAAAGAAAAGAAAATAGGAATCCCCAGAACAAGGGCTGCTATTTTCTTCATGCACTGCTTAAATCACATCTATTTGGGCTTCAATCCAACAAAGAACCTGCTCCATGTTTGACTTTGTCAGCCTGAGGGTTTTTTTAAAATAGAATGTAACTAATTGTGGATTTAATAAGTGCCTAATTTACTTGATTCATGTGTTCCTTTACAAGCTTACAGAAGGTCACTCTAAATCCAGTGCAATTATTCAGGATTGTTGCCTGTGCCACATTCATTCAATGGGAATTATGGTATCTGGAAAACTTTCAATTGATTCCTCTGGTTTGAGAGGTTTGTGTTGTCTTAAATGTGTGCCCAGCAAGAAATAGTTTGTATTTTGCCATATTTTGGGATCTAGGTAATGGAGTAGTAGCTGTAAGCTTTTGTAGCTGATAGAATCAGGCTGGATAATTTATTTGTGGACGAAATCTGGAGACCATTCAGGGTGAAATCCTGGTAGATCACTGCCTCTTGCCCAAAATTTATCAGCTCCAAAGCCTATGGAAGCTTAAATGAATTGACTCAAAAGGGAGAAATATTCCAATTTGCTTAACCAGAGACCACAGAAAGACAGAAACAAAGATATGCACAACTTGTTTCTATCAGAAATTTCTTTCCAGTTACTTCTTTTTGCTTCTGTACAGAAGACCTGTTCCTAGGGCAGCACTTCCCTGACTTTTTACTTTCCCAAATCCTCTGTCACCTTTTGAAATCATTCCCTGCATCTCCTTACCCGTGTCATTGCAGGGCAGAACCACCACTAGAAGCTACAGAAAAATGATTTCAGTATCAGAAACAGCCAATCCCACAAAAAGGTGCAGCAGTCCTGGGAGATCTCAAAGATCTTCTTATTCCAACCCTCCTGCCAAGGGTGGTGGGCAGAGGCTGGAACAGGGGTGGCTGCCCCTGGATCCCTGGCAGTGCCCAAGGCCAGGTTGGACACTGGGGCTGGAGCAGCCTGGCACAGTGGGAGGTGTCCCTGCCATGGCAGGGGTGGCACTGGGTGGGCTTTGAGGTCACTTCCAATCCAAACTATTCTGGGATTCTCTGATTTTATATTGCTGCAGTATATATATATATATGTATAAATAAATAAATAGATAGATAGATAGATAGATATAGATAGATAGAGATAGAGATAGAGATAGAGATAGAGATAGAGATAGAGATAGATATATAGATAGAGATAGAGATAGAGATAGATATATAGATATAGATATAGATATAGATATAGATATAGATATAGATAGATATAGATATAGATAGATAGATATAGATAGATAGATATAGATATAGATATAGATATAGATAGATATATGATATAGATATAGATAGATATATATAAATTTTTGTCCATGGTGCAGCCAAGCCGGGGTATTAACAGAGGAAATCACAAAAATGCAGCTTGAGATGGAGTAAAAATTTAACAAGGTAGAAATCCATTTAAATTTAGGTGAAATGTGCCACTTTAAACTTGCTAAATATGCTGTTTAGTCTGGTGACTGCAAGGCTAGAAAAACTGCCCCAGCTAAAAAAAAAAATGCAAATTTCCACACTAAAAAATAAGAGATGAAAAAGACTCCTCAAACCTTAAAACAGACAAAACAAAATAACCCAAGAGTTCTTTCTGTACTTTTTAACAAAATCTAAGTACAACTAGCTATAAGTATAATATAAAATCAGCAAAATAAATATACATTAGCCTATTATAAAATTCTATACATATAAAATTAATAAAAGTAATTTAAAAAATCAAAAGTTCTCAGAAGTACACATGTCCATCAGAGGACAATAAGTCCCACAATGGGTCCACAGTGCTGTAAATAAACATACCCATTCCCTACAAATCTTTATTAAAATTATAAAATTTAATTTTTTATCCGCGTTTCAGCTTAGCAAGGCCCAAAAAAGGACAATGCCACCAGGCCTCAGAGGAACCCTCTGCTGGAAGAATGATATTTCTGCTCTTTTAATCTCTGTGGATGTCCAGCATCACCCTTGGAAAGCATCCCAGGACCCCATCAGGTGCTGCTGGATCTTGGATAGATTTGTAATTATGTCCTGATGGATGGAACAAAGGAGGAACTCCTTATCAAAGGTGGAAGCAGATAAATGATAGCTCCCAGTTCATTAGGGACTTGCTGGACTTTGCACAGCCCTTCTGAGCCAAGGTGAAGGAATATTGCCAAAAAGTGTTAGGGGAAAGCAATCAGACCCTCTGAGTGTTCTGAGGAGCCAGAGGAGAGGCCTCCAGAACATTTTGATTTGGAACACAAGCCCAAAAATGCCCTTTTGCAGCTCCTTCAGGATGTCTGTTTGTCCTGCCAATTATTTCATCTGACTTCTCTGAGACAGAACGATGCTTAAGGGGTTTATTGCTGCTTTGTGTGAGGATTTTTGATACTTCATCTGAGACTTCTATAAATTTTTCAGCTAATTTCATTGCATTTTAAAATATTTTTAATAAATCCTAGACAGCATTGCGAGATGTAAATAAAATACTTAGTGAGTGTACAGCAGTACTTATTTTAAAGCTGGTGCAGAGTAAAATGAGCTAAATGGAATAGATAAATGGACCTCTGGTTTGGACTGCAGGAGCTTTTTCTTGGAACTGAGAAAATAAAGAAGGACATTCAAGGCCTGAAAGGGTTTCAGAGATCTGGAGAAATGGCTTGACCATGGTACCAATATAACAGAATTATTACTTGCTTTCCTGTTTCACCCAAGGGCTGCTCTCCTCTCTTCCCTCTGTTCACATCTTTGCACAGCCCCAGGAAAAATCAATCCCCTTCCCTGCACTGCTCTGTATTTTCTCTCTCTCAGAACACCCTGCTGAAGTTGTCAGGCACTGCTTTCTTCCCCTTCTACTCCATAAAAATTTTCTGGATGTTTCTACACTAATCAAAGCCCCTGGACCTGAGATTCACATCACACCACACACCAAGAGGGAGGCTGAGAGAACACTGATGCAGAGCTTGTTCCAAGGCTGTTTGGTTTTGGGGGTTTTTTTTGTTTTGTTTTGTTCTGGTTTGGTTTGGTTTGGTTTGGTTTGGTTTGGTTTGGGGTTTTTTTGCCAGCAGGAATAAGTCTGTATTTTTGTCCCATTTTGCATTTCAATTCTCAGAGTCTCTGTCACCTTGTAGGGAACACTGGTAAGGAAAAAATTGCACTACTGTCCTCTTTCCATGGAACTTTTATGACGATGGAAAGATATGAGGTATCATGACAGAGCCTTGTACTTGAGATCTGTTTTCCTTGAAAGTTAAAAAAAAAAAGTGAGGGGGAAACTCATTTTAATACAACAGTTAAAGTACAAACTAGTAAGAAATGTTCTGCTAAATTTTTCAGGATAGTCCCTAAGAGCGGATACAGAAGCAGAAATGAATACCAAGTAACACGACTCCTTGCCTCAAGTTATTATTTCACAACTTTTGCACAGAATTAATAGAAAGCCACCACAATTACACTGAGCCCCGGGGAGCTGTCCAAGAATTCCTTTATAATGCCTTAAAATCCATATGCATTTTTAAATTTCTTTATAGCCTGAATTAGTCAATTTTCCTCATATAACCTCAGAATACTTAAAAGCTGAGCATACCCAGGAAGCCAAGAATGAAATTATTTTCCTTGCAACTTTTGTTTTCTTCTTTCCCTGCTGTTCTCGAGCTCCCAGTGCCCCAGTGATCATTTTTAACCCAAATGCCATCACCAGGCCTGCAAATGGCTATAGCCTAGCAGGGAAGGTAGGAGAGCAAATATTTAACAGCAGAGGAAGGAATCAAGTGTTCATCCTGACCTATTTGTGCAATATGAAAATTTTATTTAGAGAAACATCCTCCACAGAACTCTCCAGTCCTTGGGGATGATCCTCATTGGGAATGCTTTGTGGAATAAGCACTACAAGATGTTTAGTGAGTAGCCAAATATGTTGGTGTATTTAAGAAAAGTCATTTTGAGGCTGTCAAAGCTCTCAGCTTTGCACAAACGTGGATTTGGTGTGCCATGGTGTGGGAATCCAGGGCTTCCCTCTGGCTGTCCTGGCTGCCCTGGGACCCTGGCAGGGCTCAGGAACCCCCTGGACAGAGCCCCCAGAGACACTGGCTGTGATCTCTGGCTATGGAAAAGAGTTTTCAATCCTACAGGATCAATTACCAGCTCTGAGGGTTTGATATCAGTAATAATTAAGTGTGGCACGGGTGCAAAAGTAAAATTTTAGGATTCTAGATAAGGGGTTCAAAGGGAACAAGATGGAGGAAATTTGGTGTGCCTTGTCCTTTTTCTCCTTTTTCATGCCCTCCATGTTTCACTATAATGTTGGCATTTTTCTATTAATTTAGGCTAGAAACACACTGTTCAACATAGATGATAGATATTAGCACCTTATTATAAATATAGCACACATAATTTCTAGTGTATAATGTTTATAATATCCCACTGAGGGGCAGAGCCCCACACGCTGCCCTGCAAAACAAACCTACAGCAGGGCAGCAGAACATGTTATATATAAGCAAGAATAAACAACCTTAAAAACCAGCACAGATGAATTATAACTTCTTCTTTAGCAACAAAGCAAAAAAAACAAAGACTTTCTACAATCTCAGAATCATCAATACCACAAATTCCAACACCATGGGATGTGCCATGAGCAGGGGGAAGCTGCTCCAGGCTGGGAATGGATGGGAAATGGGCAGGGCTGGTGTCTGACCCTGACATCCAGTTCAGATCTGCTCCCCCAGCAGGGACTCAGCAGTGACCAGAGCTGTTTGCTCTGCTGCCCAGTCACTCCACACACACACCTCCCTGAGGACAGCCA